GCTGACAAGCTATTTGAGAACTGCTACTTATTCACAAAGGAAATCTGTCACTCATAAACCAAAAAGCACCTTTAAAGTGAGTAATGCCAATAAATTTGTTGTGGTTGAATACAGAGTCTATCTCTTGATTTCAAAAACAATTTTGAGGTATAACAAACAGACAGTCAAATCACATGATAGTTGGTAAAACACGAATTTTGACATGTTTATAGGCTAATGAAACAACCATCAAAACCAGGGTAATGAACAAATCCATCCTTTTTAACCTGGGTAGTTCCTTTCTCACTTGTCACACTGCTTCCAACTCTTGAAACTCATAAATTTGCCTCTTGCATCTGTAGATTTGTTTGTGCTTTCTATCATACATATAAATGGAATCTCACAGGACATACCTCATGCTTTCCTTCCCCTTTTCCTTGATCTGGCTTCTTTAAACCAGCCTAATTATCTTGATATTTAACCATGTTGATTGTATAAATGCTTCATTTTCTTATTGTTTAGTGTTTTCTATGGCTGATTTGTATTCCATAGTTTGGATATGCCAAAATTTGATTATTTATCCAATTGTTGATTGACATTTAGACTCTTTCTATCTTACAGGTGTTACAAATGAGATTACCAGGGACACCCACCTATGTACTAACTCCTCCTTTTCTCCTGTTCTAACAATAAATGAAGAAGAATCTTGAGATCCCCAATTATAATTCAAATTTATCTATTAACTATTGCAAGTTTATGCTTTCACTTTAATATAGACATTTGCAGTTTTAAATTTTCCTCTACACACCATGTCCACTAAATTTAATCATTCTTAGCATATTGTGCATTTTTATTTTAAAAGTATTTCCTAATTGATTTTGTGATTACTTTTTACCTACTTGTTTAATGATGTTTAATGATAGTCATGATTTCTCCAGTTTTACTTTAATTAATGACTAGTTATTCTAGTTATTCTACTGCAGTACAAAAGGATGGTTTGTATGATTACAATATTTTAAAATTTGTTGAAACTTCTACAGTACTGTGATTTAATATATGGTCCACACTGAAGAATAATCCACGTTCTTTGATGCAGAAAGCAGACTCTACTGTTATCAAGGGGAAAGCTCTTATGGCTATTAATCTAATAAATTCATAGTGTTTTTCACATTATTTCCTCATTGATTAATCTGGTAAGCAATGCATTGTCAAATATAAATTACAAAATGTCCACTTATTTTGTAGGAATTATTCTTCCCTTGATTTCATCAAATTTTCCTCTATCTGTAGCTTGGATTTTTATGGTTGTGTATGTCTCCTTGATATACATACAGAAATTCAAACTTTTACAACATGCACTGTTTTTCTTTGTCTCTTGGAGACTTTTTGATGCAAAATTATAAAACTGACATACTACACCTCTACTATGTTTTAGTTACTATTTTAATGGAATTTTTTTCTTTTTGTTTACTTTCAGTTCTTTGTCTCTTCATATTTGGAGTATGTTGTTGACAGCACAAGGGTGGATCAATTTTTAATCCATCTGGCTAATAACTTCCTTTTAATGGAGGCTTAATCCATGTATATATAAAGTGATCACTGATAAGGAAAGGATTGCTTCTTCCATTTAACTACTTTCTAAAGTTCTTATATAACTTTTGTATCTCAATTTAAAGTATTTGATTTCATATATACTTAAATTACTGCCTAGCATGCTATTTTTCCTTTCTTGTTCATTGCTACAGAAAATTTAACTCAGGCTTCAAGAATGACAGGCAAGTACTCTACTACTTTGCTTTATTTACCACCTGCAGGATTGAGTTTTGAATTTCTTGTAAGAGCAGGTATACTCTTAGCTTTTGTGCATCTGGTTCTCTCTTAATTTCTTCTTAATTCATTTTTAAAAGATTTTATTTTAAAGAGAATAAAACCAAACAAAGTAAAACAGAGTTAAGCCAATCAAAACAAAACAGTGAAAGTGATACAGCACTTCAAAACAGGGTAAGAGGAAATCAACAATGGTTACTATAATGCTTCTTTCTATCTTCAAAATTGCTGCCCATATCATCATACATAATAAAATCAAACAAAACAGTACAAAATAAACTCAATTAATGCAGAATACTGAAGAAAGAAAAACGGTGAGAATAATACTGGACTTCAAGTTAAGACAGAAGGAAATTCCCCATATTTGCTATAGTGCATATTGTTATCCTCTCAATAGATGTTCAGACCATCAGCTCTAGGCCTGCAAAGTCCATTAAACAATATAAGAATTAAGTTATTTTTGTACCTCAGTTGCTAACAGCTCAGCCTGTGTTCCTCCAAATCAGCCAGCTGCTTACAGGGGTGTGAGGTGGGGGTGTTCTTGTCTCCCAGCCCATGTGCCAGTTGTCTCACAGGAAGGGCAAACTGGCTTGTGGTTTCTCTCCCACGACCCACATGGCTTTTTGAATGATATCTTCATGAGATAGAGATTTATTAAGCAGCCTGTTATTTGATTCCTTTGTTTGCTTCTGTGTCTTCCAATTGCCTTCTGGCCTCCAAAGTTTCTGATAAGACATCGACCCTTAATCTTACTGAGCATCCCTTATATGTGAAAGATGTTTCTGTTTTGTTGTTTTTAAGACTTTATCAGTGCACAGTTTGACTGTACTGTACCTGGGTAGTCAAATTAATCCTGGTTGAGTTACGCACTGTTTTGTTTTGACTGGCTTAATTCTGTTTTATTTTGTTTGGTTTTAGTCTCTTTAAAATAATTTTTTTTTTTAAAAATGAATTAAGAAATTAAGACAGAACCAATGCACAGAAGCTAAGAGTATACACAGCTGGTCTTACAAGAAATTCAAAACTCAATCCTGCAGGCTGAAAAGCCATTAAGACTTAAAAACAAAAACAAACAAACAAACAAAAAACTTATTATTTCCCTGTTGTTCTTTTCTCCTTTTGAGGCTACCAATATGTACGTGTTCGGTTGTTGGCTGGTGTCTCAGATACCTAAGGTTCTTGCTCATTATTCATTTTTTCCCTCAAACTGGATGACTACAATTATTTCATGTTCAGTTTGGCTGAATTTTTTCCTGTCTGTTCAAATCTAGCACTACTTATTTTGAGTGGATTTTTTATTTCAGCTACTCTACTTTTCTGCCCCAAACTTCCTCTTTTGTTTTATAATTGTTATTTTATGACATTTCTTAGTTGTTCATATGATGTTTTCCAGATTTTCTTGAGTTCTCATTGAACATACACAAGATACTGGAGTTAGTATCTTTTTAACTAGGAAATTTTAATTCAAATGTCTGGCCTTCTTCAGAGATAACTTTGGTCAACTTCTTTTCTTCCTGTGAATGAGTCATTTTTTAAAATGCTTACATCTTTTTTGTTGGTGAGAACTGGACAATATGAATTGTATCATTTGGTAACTCTGGAAATCAGATTCTCTCCTTCATCAGGGATTACTTTTTGCAGTCATCTTTGTTATAGTGAATTTGCCAAAGGAATGTTTCACCTTCTGTATGCCTTGTAGGTGGCCACTTAATATTTGCTGTCCATTGTCCCTGCAGCTGTTCTGCCACCTGACAGAGATTCCTACAAATGCCAAAGTTCAGTAGCATCTGCCTTCTCCAAACACTCCCTTGGTTTCTGTGTCTATAAAGTTCCAGAGTTCTGAGGTAGTTGATTTAGGTCATTTCCCCCTAAGCTTAATTACTGGTTTAGCAGAGGGACTGAACTCCATCCTTGGAACTCCTTCCTCTACCATCTTGAGTGAAGACACCTAGCAGAAGTCAGTGTTGTTTTGTCTGTCTCAGCATTCTCTGCATGCCATGGCTGAATTATATCGGGAACTGCCTTTTTAGAAGAAATGCAAAAATTTTATTTTAAAGAGAAAAGCATAAGCAAACAATGAAAACAAGTTTCAAAACAGGGTAGAAGGCAAGTTACAATACATGATGCACTGCATATTGGTGGATTGTAGTAGTTTACAGAGTCCAGGGCATAGGCATGATGTCTTACCTAAACAATATTAGCACAAAACATTCAAGGAAAAAAATAGAAGCTAGCTGTATACTATCTGAACTATCTTACATATGAAAATTTTTTTTTTCCCTTTTATCCATTTTTCCATCGCCTTTTAAATGATGCTACCTCCTGGCCTTTTCGTCTGTAAGTTATATAACATCATACCAAATCATGTACAATATACAAATCTTACAATTATATTTCTCCCTAATAGTTTTTTGCTATTGCTGTCAATTACTTGTAAATTTCACAAAATATTGTCTTTTTTGTTTAGTCATTTATCTTTTAGGTATATTTCATTGCTAAGAAAAAAATCATATATATTTACAAGTCCAAATAATTGCAAGTCCAGCCTCCTCATTTATGTACATATGCAAAGATCTTCATCTACAGGAATTCCTTTAACATTTTTATAGTGCAGATCAATTGGTTTAATTCTTTCAGCTTTTATAAGTAAAATTGTTCATTTTACATTTAATTTTCTAGCTATCTTTGCTGCTGAAGAATTGTAATAGTACTTTTTTCCTCTTAGCACCTTAAATGTCTTGCTTTCCTATCTTCTTGCTTGTATTATTTCTCTCTCAGCTCTGTCTCTTCAACTCAGATGATCTGCCAAGCCCTGTCTGAAGTATCTCTGCCAGGACTGCTGTCTGGAAACTCTGAAATATGTAAAGTGAGGTAATTATAGGGCTTACCTCATTTAATCCTTACCTGCCATGGATCAGTACCTTTTAGGTACATAGCTAGATGACAGACAGACCATAAGTAGGTATCTAAATGCATGTTTACATAACAGACATACAGATAGGGAGGGGCCTTACTATTCTGCTTTGGAAACCAAAGATTTTCTAAAATATTTCTGCTTTAGTGAAGACCTCTCTTAGTCACTGTCTTCCCTAGCAGCCACCTCTTTGGTTACCTCATTATTTTGAATATCGAATGCAACTATAGTTAGGCATAGTATTCACATGTGTAAGTAGCAGACACAAAGGAACAAAAACTAATTTCATTTCATTTTATTCTGTACATTTCCACACAATTCACAATACAGAAAAAGTGTCCAAAAAGTAACCGCCACTAGTCAATTTCTTTTTCAGAGATTAGTTCAGTGTCCCAAATTAGTTCCATTGAAAATCTCTATAGAGCAGCACAGTGAATCTTTATATAAATAAGAAATGCAAGAAAATTAGGGAAAAATACTTTATGACTTTGTTACAAAAAACTCCATTTTTTCCCTTTTCCGTCCCTCCCTCCCCACCTACCCTTCCTCCACTTCATATTATCTGGGACCCACTTTACCTGGAAATAAGATGTCCTGTCTCTACTGTCATGGCTGCTACTGCTTTGGACATTTCACCTGCCAACTGGCAGCTTTGCAAAAGCATGCAGCTCTGGGATGTGATAGGGAAGAATCTGAATCAAGAAGGGGTCCTTCATAATGGGACTGCAACTCTTTTCCTACAGACATGGGCTTTCAGGTGGCCTATCTACAGCTAACTGTATGCTGGATGTCTAGTAGTTTTTTTCCCCACTCAGAAATGAAGTATATACATTCTGATGGAACTGAGATTGCCCTGTAGTCCTCATAGAAATGGGTTTTCTCACTTTCAGTCAGCTGTGGTGCACATAACACATTCACACTTGCCTGATCAACCTCTGGCAACTTTCAAAAATAACCAAACTGGTATATGTGGAGGCTCATTTGAAGTCTTACTTCTCAGTGATGCTTTGCATTAGAAAATTTTCACTGTAAAATTTTTGTTTCATTTACCAGGACAGTAAAAGCCTCCGTCCACAATCAAGTTGGTAGCAGGCATCCAAGTTCTATTTGCACTGGAAATGATGCATGCAAATGGTTTGTGCATCACTCCAACAATGCAAGGGTGGAGAAGGTGGCAAACGAAAAGTATTACTGTGAATAAAACCAAAAATGCCAGAAACCACTTTTCATTACACAAGGTGCAAGAAGTATCAAGATTGAAATGCATCTCGGAAGTGGTAAATCTTAACATTTCTGTGTATTACTTATAAAATCTGAAATGAAAAATAGAGTAAACTGATGTAGAGCTGTAATGTGTGGTTTTTAAGTTTTTTGTTATTTTTTTACAAAACAATTTGCAAATATCTCATGCCCATGTCTCTCATTTTTAAGAAATATCGTTATATTTAAACTCCACAATAACAAAGTCATGGTTTCTGGATTTTGAAGGTTAGATTTAAAGTTGTGAGAAGACTTACATTGTCCCTATTTGTCTCAAATCTTATCTTTGACCATTACAAATTAATGGATAGGTCTAACCTGCTCTGAGTTGTTGGGAAAATACACAAAACACAACACTGTTCTTGAGCTTTGTTAGAAAGTTCTTCCATTAGCTCATTCTGTTTCCTGTAGTTCTGCAATTGCACTATTTCTGAGTTGTATAAAATAAAAATGTCAGATATATTCTTTGAAGCCATGCTCTATAAATTTAATTATTATCCATATTTTATGAGCTTGAGTTTCATGGGAATCAGTGTTCTTTTAGGATATATATTGTGTGTATTTCCATGTGAAACTACGTTAATACTGAAATAATATTGTATTTTCCTGAGAATATTTTGTTTCTTTTTTTTTTTTTTTTTTTTTTTTTTTTGTCTTTTAGTTTTTGTTTGTTTGTTTTCCTTCACTTTTTGAGACAGAGTTTCCCTATTCAGTTTAGGCTGGTCTTGGCCTCACTTTGTAGCCCAAGCTGGCCTGAAACTCAATGATGATCCTCCTTTCTCAGCCTCTGGAGTGCTGTGATTACAGGCATGCATCATGCCCTGCCTTACCTTTTTCTCATAAGCCCTTTTCTTTGAAGTAAGAAATGAGGTGCGGGAGAAGCAGGAGTGATGGGAGATGTTCTCTGGGCAAGGGGCTCCATGTAGGACCATTCCTTCCATTATCTCAAGAGTGACTTCCCCTTCCATTCAGCTCAAATTCTAGGAACTACAACTGTAACCCTCTTACACAGACATATCATGCAAAGGTCCACCTAAGGATATCAGTATTACGTCTTATTTAATGATGAAAAGGTATAGGAAGTAATTTTCTGCTCCTTTATTACCAGAACATAGAGCAATCCTCAGTGCTTTCTTCAAGTCTCAATCACAAATTTACATATCAAGCAAGTGGACAGTAAGTAGAGGAGGGAACACTGGATGCTTTGTTTCTTCCTTACTGAATTCTCAGCATGTTTGCTTCAGTAGAAACATAATGTCTTTTTCAAATGTGAGAATTGGCTTGCGATTGGCAAAATGTGCATGCGTGCATGTGTATGTGTGCATGTGTGTTTGCATAAGCAAAGCAAATTTCAAGATCATGATCCTTGCCTCTAGATAATTTAGTATATATTTTCAATGATTGTGTTTATAAAATGCTTTCACTGCCATCTGTTTGGCAGGAACCTGAAAGTGAAATGGATCTGAGATCTGTTTCAGTTGAAAAGCATAAAAATAAACCAAAGGCCTATTACAGAATGTTTTCAGGCCCAAGATCCTTCACAACTAAGGATTTGCTTTTACATCATCCCTGAGTTGGCTGTTCAATATTTACTTAAACAGTAGGGGGAAAAATCTAGCAGTGGTGAACTTTCCCTTTTTCAAGAATCCCACTTTTTCCAGATGCAATATTTAGGGGAAAAAAAAAAAAAAACCTTTATGCAACAATATAGGCTATCCTACCTACTTTTTATGTCTGTTCTTCTCTTTTCATTCTTTTATTGTTCAAATTAACTGCCTTATAGAACTTGAATCTAACTCCTGTTTCATCTGTCTTCTCCAGACAGTTTTTAAATGTTGTCTTCTTTCCACATCAAGCACCTTCTGCTACAAGTTCACCATTCTACCATAGGTGACCTAGTAAAATATGTTAGAATTGGAGAATATTGTATGTTCTTTTAATTTCAAATACAGCATCACTTACCATAGATGACTCAGACCTCAATGTATGTGACACTGCATGATAAACTTCCCTGGTGGACATACCTGGAAACAAGACTGCCTGGAACAGCAAGCCCTCAGCACCTGGTACAACAGTCCTAGAACAGTTCAGCAGTACCTTTCCAAGGAAGACAAACAGTACCCCTACTTTTTAAATTTCTTTTTTTTTTTTTTTGTCTTTTTTCCTTTTTATCGGTACCGGGGATCGAACTCATGACTGCCTGCTTGCAAGGCAGGCGCTTATGCCGCTGAGCTAAATCCCCAGCCCTGTACCCCTACTTTTTAAATGTGGAGATTTAAATCATGCAGAAAAGTCACTAAAACCTCAGTCTTAATTTCTTCCCATGAAATTTACAATGGTGCCCAAACCTTTGACCTTTTTGCCCTTGAAATATATCTATGTTGGTAAGATTCTGAAAATAAAAATTCTTGAGTTTTTATTTCATGTTCTCCCCCTGCTCTAAACAAATTCCTGTAGGTCAATATTTTTCTTTTTTTCTTTTCTTTTTCTTTTTTTTTTTTGGTCTTTTTCCTTTTTACCGGTACCGGGGATCGAACTCACGACTGCCTGCTTCCAAGGCAGGCACTTATGCCACTGAGCTAAATCCCCAGCCCCAGGTCAATATTTTTCTTCATGCAGGAATCATTTTATTATGGAAATCTGAATCACAGATGTAAAATATCACTAAAAGTAATGATTGAAAATTATTTACCCAGAAAACATCTATTTTAGGCATGTTGGCATGTAATTTCTGAAGGTCTCAAACGAGGTGTGGTGACACAAAGGAACAACAACAAGAGGCTGGGCATGGTGGTGCACACCTGTAATACCAGCATTCAGGAGGTTGAGGCAGGTGGATCATGTGAGTTCAAAGCCAGTCTGGGTTCCACAAAGCCAGCCTGAACTCCACAGAACACTTTGTCTCAAAAAATAAAATAAAGTAAAATAAAATAAAATGTCCCAGTTCTAGTTGCAGTCTTATCATCTGCTATCTGATTCTGTACAAGTTGAATTCAGGGCTCTGAGATTCAGACAGTTCATTTGGTAGCCATTATCTACAGCATGTACTTATGGCATTACATCAAAACTCAAAAATGTCAAAAATGTTTTGAAATAAAACTGAAACTATGGGGACAATTAAAAGCATAAATTTTAGTTGTTTAAGCTATTTTACACTGAGATCTATAAATATGCTTCACTATAGGACTAGGAAACGATAATTTCAATATTGCTGCTACTTAAGGTTCCTGTTTTAGGTATTATTTGGCCAAAGATGTTGAAATTTTGCAGCTGTGAGAACAACTGATTCAGCAATTTGTCATCTCCATGGTTAGGTTTACCCTTATGTCACATGCTGGGCATTGAAGCCACAGCATTTGTCATGCTTGCTTTTCATGTACATTGTTTGAATTTTAAAGATCTTTATCCTTTAGGCAGAAATTTCTTCTATGGTTGTATCAGACTATAATGAACCCTGGTAAATACCAAATCATGGCACTTCTTCATATTGGACAGACAGATATACTTCTAATAGGACTTTACTTGAGAATGCCTATGAATATACATCAAAGTTGTAATGTTTCCAGAAGTATTTTAAATTGTTAACCTCTTAGTATGGTTTCTTTTTGCTAGTTTCTAAATTCATGCTTAGGTATCTTAAAAACTATTAAATGGTAAGTAAAGGCCATTCCCGCCAAGATTTTATAGCTTTTCATGTATAAAATGTTATATTTTTTAAAAATCAAGGTTTTTATGAAATTCTGAAACAAAACACTGCAATTCAACAAACAAATTTTGAAACCAAACTTAAAGAAAAGAACAGATCGAATTTCAGCCCGCTGAGATCAAAGGTCCCTAAATCGAAACACACTAAAATCGTATTCTTTGCTTAAACTCTCCCAACAGCGAAAGTTTATGACTCTGTAAGGAACCCCAATGCACCCTTTGGCAATTTATATTTTATTTTTATATTTAATCCAAATCTATTGCAAATTCTGCTTATTATTCCTACTTTTGTCCTTGAGAACAGTGATAAATGAATCTTAGTACTTAGATATTGCTTCAAAGTCTCATTTTAAAAGCTTAATGTTAAATACATTCTTAAGGACATTACCAACACTAAACAAAGAAATGCAAAATATCACTTCTTGCATTGTTGAAACTGTTTTCATAGAACTAAAATATTGCTGACCAATGAGTGACACATACAGTAACACCTTTGTTGTACTTCCCATGGATGCTGGGGCTCTCATGCAAGGACCTTATTTCATTGCAATTTGTCATGCTTCCCTGACGGCCAGTTTGGTGAAATCAGTTTTGTCTATTGCACTAACTGCCTTAGCATGGGGTCTATATCAGAGTAAGTGAAATATTTTATAAAAAATGCGTGCAAGTATGGTCGATTCATGGACATATGACTGCATGTGCAATGACTGCATGCATGCACATACACTCTAGAACTTACCCATCCTCAAGACATTCTTCCCCAGTCCAAACTACTAGTCTAAAGTATTTAATAGTCTAGTAATTATATCTTCCTGCTTTCCTTTTGGAACCAGCTTAATGAATCTCAATGTCATGGGAGAATAAGTTGTTTAGGACACTACTAATCCTTCCTTTCTTCCTTCCTCTCTGTCTCTGTGTCTCTCTCTAATTGAACTATGGAGAGATGGTCTAAACTCCATATAAGTCTTCAGGGGTATAGCACATATAGAACCAGTACTCCGGATAAGGTCAAGGGGGAGCACTGCTGTGTCACTGGATGTGGAAACATCAGCCATGATGGTAACCTCTCATGTGAGGAGCACAGAAGTGTGCTAACCCTCCTAGATTACTTTTGTCAGGCTTGTCATAAACTCATAAAATGACCAAATCAGTGGCTATGCACTTATCTTTTAGGCATCATGGACATTTGCTCCAGAGAGAAATGTCATTTTGGCTATAATAGTCAAGGAAGATTTTGGCAGTTGTAGGACATGATTACCAACTGTCCTGGCAGGATTCGTCCAGGAACAGAATTGTCACTGTGGCCAGAAATTAATGTAATAAGAGTAATGGCTACTCAGACTCCAGACTGTATCCATGTGACCTCCCCTTCCAAAAGTAGCTCAGCCTCATCAATTATCATGAGATAAACTACTGAGTGTGTAAAAGTCACAGAGAAAAGGATTCTCTTTACTTGAAATCCAAAAACAGCATGGACCAGTCTTACAGCCATGGTAGGTTTCATGCTTCATGGAAGGCAGTAGACACAATGACAGGTACTCTTGGTTATGGATTTTATAACACAGGTTCTAACAAATGTGCAATGGTAGTGATTTAGTGATAGATGAAATTCACTGATGGTGGAATCAAAAAATCAAATAAAAACTCTGTTACCTTATCTATCTCTGCAGGTATTAACTACACATTCATGTATGATTAGCATGCTTTTAAAATGTTTTTTAAATCTATGCAACATATATGTAGTACATATGCACATGTATGTATACAAATAAATGCCTTTCTATATATATGAATGTGTGAATGTGTATGTATATATCTACATGCACACATGTGTATGAGTGGGGTAATTCTGACACAACATACAGCTATGCTTATTAGTGTTAACAGCATTTATCTCTGGGGACAAAGAAAAGACACCAAAGCAAAGGGATGCTGTGCTGTTGCATGTGGTATTAGAACATTTTTTAAAAGGCCTGTGCTTGTTTCATAACTAAAAAAATCTGTCATTAATAAATCGACAACATAATGAGATGAAAAGGCTGCCCCACATTTTCTAAGATGTGAAGGTAATGAAAAGTCTAGGAAGCAAGTCTCAGAAATTCTTTAGGTGAAAGGTCTGATGCTACATCCAGATGAAAATGAACTACCTGTTGAATATCATATAATGTACAGATCTGTACAGGAGCCACTGAGGACAGAGATGCAGCAGGGCATTGCAGGTCTGCCAGCTGTTGTTACAGATTTCATAACGTGCACTTGCCAGTCTCAGTCTGTTTCAGAGCTTGCCCTGGTTTTCAGTCGTAATGACTATAAAGCTAACTGGAAGTCTCAAAGTAACATTTCCAGTTGTGCTTAGTTCCTTCTGGGCTTATTAATCTTCTGTTGGTTACTGAGTCTTCAACTGTTATAAATCCACATTCATTATATTCTATTTCATTAACTGTGGAACAGCAGAGTATAAGGTTGCGAATATGGATATCTTTATGGTTATAGACTGTCATCTTTTAGTAACTCTTCATCTTCCATCCCTGTATTAATCTGATCCAAGACTGGAATCCCCAAGGCAGGCAGTGCCACAACATGAAGGACCATGCACAGGAGTACTGACAAGGCTGCTGCTTCCATCTGCACTGTCCCAACAGGCTCTGTAAAACTGGTTTTTATACAGATGTATATGTCAGTGTTTGTTACAGTCATGCGACTTTTTGATCAGGACCAGATCATTGGCCTCTATACCACTTGATAGCCTAGTAAAGAAGAAACAATCCACCTAAATTGAGATGGAAACTCTTAAATCTTGGCTCTTTCTAAAGCCCACCACCGTCACACATAGCTACCAATTAAAAATGCTACAGGAGGTAGATTTGGTGCTGAGGGCATTAAATATGTGGCTGTTCTGTCCCTTTATCTAGCCTTCCTTCCTTTCTTTTTTTTTCCTTCCTTCCTTCCTCCCTGCCTCCCTTGCTCTCTCCCTCTCTCCCTCTGGAAAGCCTAAGTCTTGTAGGTGTTTGCTATTCCAAAGAGATAGCTCATACATTGCTCTCTATCAATAAGGCAGGGACTCTAAATTATTTTTCCCTTTCTCGAATCATTTTCAGATGCACCAGAACATTTTCAGTAGTTCTACACTGGCCCACAGCCACCTCTGTCCTAAATTTTCTCTCAGGTTACCTTGAAGCACTCAAAGAGAAATGCAACATGGTAATTAATGAAACCAGAGTGCCTCATCTCAGTAGTGGCAGCTCAGTAGGCCAAATGTTTGGCTTGGTCCAGAGGATAAGAGGTACTATTCGAAGCCAGATTTCAGTCTGCTTTAGGGATTATATTACATTTCTGTCATCACAATATTTCCATAACAGTCCCACCAACTGAAAAACTTCTAGCAAAATCCCAGTGATTAAATTCTCCTGGACCATATTTTTTCCCAGTTTCTGGAAATGATCTACTGCAGTCCCTTCTTCCTCCACCATAAAATCCAAAAGAGAGCTGCAGTCCTGAAACTGATAATATGACAAGAGATGACTCATAACCAGCTCCTTCTCCCACACTTGGAAATTATGCCAATGATTTGTGTCTGAAGTGACTATGCAGAGACTGTGGTAATAAAACCCCTAAACCCTGAAAGGCTGTTTTGACTTAACATAGCATATGATATCTGCACTTTTCAAATGATGATGTGTGACCAACATGGGATTCAGATAAACAACATGTCACTACTGGCCCATTAAATTAAATGTAGAGAAATGATCACTTAAGTTAACAAGAAGCAATACCAGGGACACGATTTTGCTGGGTCTAAGAGCAAAATGGAAGGGAGCTCAGGAGACCTCAGATTTAGCCAAAAAACAAAACTCTTGAATATCCACTTTTATTTTTGTCTCATATGCAAATATTTGGGAAAAATAATATTCTTCCTCCTTAAAATTTAATTATCACTGAGTTCCATCTGATCTGTAGCATGATGAGACAGTGCAATTCCACTACCAGACAAGAGACTGCTGGTTACAATTTTACAGTGGTTTGCAGTAAGAAATTGCTGATAGGGGAAAACATAGTTAATAAAGCAATACATTAAACTGCCCACACATGGAAAATAAAGTTATCAGATATGATCGCAGGACCTTAAAAGCAACAGGTAAAGCATCCATAAGAAAGACCCAGGCCTCCTGAAAATCTGGCAGTGCTATTCATAAAACAATACTCTGTCCTCGGGTCAGTCCATCTAAGAAAAAACAAAAATCAAGAAGGGAAACCCAAAGTGAGACCTTCTCCCCATGGTATCCAAGAATGTACAGTTCTTGGCCTCTGTGTAAAATTCCAAGAGTGCTTCTTGCTCAACTGTATTATCTTGACACATTGCTAACGCTGTTTCTTTTTCCAAGTTGATTAGCCTGCTATTATTATTCAACAAGACTAGAAGTTAACCTCATCAGAGGGCTCTACTTCCTATAGTCAGAGTCCCACAGTGTTTTCTCCCTGTAATTTATTTATTTATTTATTGGTACCGGAGATCAAACTCACGACCTCACACCTGCCAGGCAGGTGCTTATGCTATTGAGCTAAATCTTTGACCCTCTCCCCTGCACTTTAAACAGCACTTCAAGTTGCAGCAACAGGCAAAGATGGCTACACATAGGCAGTATGGAGCTGTACAAGCAGCCCAAGCTGAACTGGTCTCGCACAGCTATTGGCAACAGCCCAGCTGCCTGGGCCAACCTTAGGTAATGGTAACCTCTCTGAGGTACCTCCAAGCACAGACAGCTCCCATGCCACCTTGAAAGACCCAGAGATAGAACACACAAGTGGACTTTAGCCATGTGGTACTTCTCTGCTCCTACAAAATGAAACAAAAGAGTCACTGAGTGGTCTTGGTCTATTTAGTCTTGGAAATGGTTTTACAGTTATATTTCTGCAGGACATCCAGAGGCTTTTAAGAGACCTTCACACAATCTTGTGGTCTTCAGATTGAACGTAAAGAGAAGAGATAAAAATCATAAAATTTAGGTTGATGAGTAATTACAGTAGAATTATGTGGTAAAGGAGAAAGATGGACATGTGGGGGAGGAGGGAGCAATGCCATTTATACAAATATCCTTTGAATCTTTAAAATAAATTATACAGGTAAACACAGAAGTTCATGCTACTTGCTGGAAGCAGTAAGGATCAAATTTTGTGGAACTTGTACTCCACAAATCTCTAGGTAGCCTGGCTCCTTCTCAATGGGCTATCATGTTCTGCTGGACATCCTGATAGCCCTTAAAAACTGGTGGCACGGTCTCAGAGATTCTTGCAGGAGAGAGACAGACATATGGATTCCATCAGCTTGTTCCTCAGCAGCTGCCTGGTCGCTGGGAGGGCACAGGTTATATGCTCGCTCACATTCACTCTGTTTGTCTACTAGGGTCAGACAGCAGTTTCCAGGTCTTCATGGCCAATGACCTTATAGTTCTGACGGCTTTCTAGGTAAGCAGCTAATTCTGGGTCCCCAGCCTGCTGTGCTCTGTCTTGTGGTGTTTTACCCTGTTGGTAGCAGCAACAAGGAAAGAAACACGTATTTTGAGTAAGGGAATATACATACAACTCTTATTATCACAGAAGCAGAGGTACCCAAAGACTATTCACTAACAAGCGTCTGCCATGTTTGATGTTACAGAGTTTACAAGACACCTTCAAATATATTTTTATAATAAGCATTATAGCAAACATATGAGATTGCTGAGTTAAAGCGTTTATCATTTTAGGTAGGTGAGGTTTCCATCTCTGAAAACAGAGGTGCCCAGAGTCTCAAATAGGCACAGTGAGTCTGAATCATCCAGATTCTTCTTAGAAGAAAGGGATAGAAAAGACACTGAATAAAAAAATCAGGAAACAGCCATTCAGATTTCTAGTTTAGGATTCTATCATACTAAACTCTTAGAAATGACTGCCAGAAAGTGAGCAAGGTTTCTTTTGTTAGCTATGAGAAATTATAGGAACCTTAAGCTAGTGGTTAAATATGTTAAGTAATACCTACAAACATTTAAAAGAATAGACATTCTCCCTTCCATTACTGGAAGGCTATAATTTCCTTTAGCCTACTATACATCCTTTTGCACATCTGTACATACAAACACAAACATATCTTTAATACAAGTTTGACATTCATCAAATGAGTGAGTAGAAGTCACCAGTAATGGAAGGGAGAATGTCTACTCTTTTAATGGTTGTGGTATTACTTAACATATTTAACAACTAGCTTAAGGCTCCTATAATAATTTTTATGCAACTTTTTAAAAAACAATCTGATAGTCTCTTGTCTTTACTTTAATAATAATAAAGTTGTTATTCCTAGCTTCAAAATATTCAGAGGTGTAGTCTTAGGGTGGGGGTGGGGGGTTCTCAGTGGATTTTTAAGGAACTCTTCTCTACTAAGAGAAATTTCCAAGGAAAGTTCCAAGAAAGAATCCAGGAGTAAGTATTATGTTTACCACAGCATTAAGTTACAAAATAGCAACATTCAAGGACTCCTAAACCAAAATTAGACATAACTATACTACTGTCATATGGACAGATTTTTACAAGATATTATTGATTGAAAACCTATGCTTTAAGTAGTATATAAACTATTACTCCACCTAGTTGTTTTATTTAAAAAAAAAAAAAACTGACATCTCCACATGTAAAGCATGATCATTAAAAAATATTTAGGTCTAGACTGTAAGATTTCCAGATACTTTTACTTTTTTGTGTGTTTTTCTATATTTCTGGCTTTCTGTGTGAGAATATTATATATATATATATATGTATATATAACTACAAAATAATAAACTTATTTACAATTTCAAAAAAGTACAAATATTCATTAAACAAAATAGAAATTGCAAACATTTATGTGATTTGGAGATACAGAAAGATAAAAGAGATGACCTACTCTCCAGTCAGTTTGTAGCTCCTTCTATGCCTGTGTCCTCTCCTTTTCTTTTCACTATCTGAGCTGAATGGAGGAGCAGCCCTTGGAGGGAAGAGGGCAGCTGTCTTGCTGTGTTCTCAGCAGCTCCAGCAAGGCCCACTCTACCGTAAGTGATCTGGACTGATCCTACTTATGATGTACGTGCTTCTCAATTAGGTTTAATATCCAAGTCCCTGAACATAGTAACACACCCAGCTGGTTAACAGGAGGGTGACAAGCCAGGACACAGCTCAAGTGTGTTTCACAGGCCTAGGGAGAAACAGGAACATCCAGAGAGCAGAGAAGTCTTATATTACAAATGGCTCAAAAAGAACACAGAGGTCCACTTTACAAGGTGTGCTAGGGGGCTGAAGACTTTCGAGGCATCAAATTGTACACAGGCAGTCTTGTCATTTTTAAATAAGTCTAAAGGAACTGAAGTCATTGATTGGGCTTCTAAGTTATACACTGATGGGTCATGGTCACAGCGGTTAGTTCTAAACTTATTACTCAGAGACTGTTTAATGAAAGCCTCATCTACACATTAAAATTCTTCTCTGCAAGTCTCTATAGTTGAATGAGTGGTTGGCTTTTGGAGTCTACCCAGGGTGTTTTAAAACTCTGAGAGCTTATGAGCATCCTGTAGCGGGCTGGTCATCTGTATAAACTCCATATCTCCTGTCTACTTGTCTGTCTCTACACCTCTCTGTTAGTCCTAGGTCAGTTCTACTATACTTCCACTCCTTTATTTGTCAACCCTTTCTGTTGGGTGTGCCTTGTAAATTGAATTAATCCCCTATGCAGACCACTACCAGCTCTCCTTACATCATTCACCTGACGCCATACCTCTACTTGTGGATACTTTCTGATCAAGGCTGGCATGCATATCACACTAATACCTTCTGTCCTCACTACTTTCTTAAGACATCTGCACACTTTGGATACAGGTTTATGTAATTTTTGCTGCAAAGAAAATCACCACATTTCAAGACACACTTGGCCCAAGCAGCAACAAAACCCATTATACAAACCACACATGAAAACTAACTTGTTCCTTTGTTGTCATAGTTTATCCAGCAGGACAATCGGGGACTGTCACCAAAGATCAGTCATTCACTAGGCTGAATGTTAAAAGGGCAAGGCCAGGGGCTGGGGTTTAGCTCAGAGGCGTAAGCGCCTGCCTTGCAAGCAAGCAGTCGTGAGTTCGATCCCCAGTACTGATAAAAAAGGAAAAAGGAAAATGACAAAAAAAAAAAAAAAAAAAAAAAAGGGCAAGGCCAAGGCAAACTCAATCTCCTTCAGGTTTTAGTTCTTGCATAGTCAGTGGTAGTAATCCCAACTCTGTGGGACTTTTAGGGTTAAATTTTCAGAACTAATCCAAGGCACCAAATAGGAAAAATAAAACCGTTAAAAATAAAAGATAAGGGGCTGGGGATTTAGCTCAACAGCATAAGCGCCTGCCTTGCGAGCAGGCAGTCGTGAGTTTGATTCCTGGTACCAATATAAAAATGAAAAAGACAAAAAAAAAAAAAAAGATAAATACAAACTTAAATAATACAGCAAATTTAAGACTGCAATCATCTTGAACTCAGGGCCCACCATCTGAGGAGCCAACAGGTGAGCACCCTGGTGTCCTTATGAGGAGCCTCAAAAATCATAGAGTTTTAAACCACTCTGGATTTAGTACTGAAAGAGGAATCCCAATGGGACTTCTTATTCGCCATGTCAGTGTCATTGCACGTGATCTGGACACCTCTCCTTGGGCTCTGGATCTCAAATCTGTACACCATGCCACGTTCAGCCGACAATCCCAAGGTTCCAAGGCCCCATGTGCAGGGGTTATAAAGCACCATAGGCAAGTGCTGTATGTGGTTCCCTTTGTGTATATGTTTAAAGTGCAGTTTTTCTAAATGAAGCACTCTATTTTTTCCTCCTTTTTACAGGTCCCCAGGCACTTCCATGAGCACAGAAAGCATGCCTGTGCTGTAGGAACAAGAGAAGGCAGTGGGCCCTACAATCTCGCCAGGGGAAGATGCTCGAGCTCACCCAGCCAGTTACCTTGGCGTCCGTCTTTCTCAGAGACGCTCCCGCATCCACCAGAAGCTGGCACACAGCCCGGTTCCGCTGGCAGGCAGCCTTGTGCAGTGCTGTTTCCCCCCTAAATCAAAGACGAGCTGAGAGTTGAGAAACCACCCATAGAGGGGGTGGGGACAGACTTGGGTAAGGAAGCAGTCAGGGTGTAGGGGCAGCAGGGAGCAAGGGGACTCATCTTCCCCTGCTGCTGACCAGAGTGCTCCTCAGCCACTTGAGCTGGAAGTGGCTGAGGCCAAGTTTGCAGGGTACATTCTAGAAAGACAGGCCAGAGAGATTCAAAGAACATCATTAGTTATTCATCAATGAACCATATTTGACTCCAGTCTCAGTACAGGTTGACTAAGCCTAGTGATGTTTCTTTTCAACTAATACTGTTTGAGTTAGGATGTACTCAAGGGTGCCATGAAATACAGTGATTGCACCAAAAACTGAAGTGATTCTCTCTGTGTATCTCTTTGTGCAAAGCACAAAGGATGCTATCAGCATAGTGCACAGGTCCACAGCCCTCCTCCCATACCTCACAGCAGCTGGTGGACACCACCTGGCTTTCAGAGGCATGTCTACTGGGAACTTAACTTTAAAGAACAAGGCCAACACTAATGGTGCGGTCTAAGAGGGGCTCATAGATAGGAAACTGTGGAGGCCCAGGGAGACTCTGCAAGAACTCAGAGCCCAAATTCTTCCAATGGGCAACAGGTCTGAGGCCAGCCTCTCACATCGGGAAGTGGGTAAAAGAAAGTATGCATTTCCCTATTTCTGACAAACAATCTAAGGAGGGGAACAGTAAAATAAAGTAAAAATAAGCCTGATGTTAAAAATCAAATGAAGCCCTTGAAGGCAAAATGGTAAGTGATGGAACCGCTTGCACTGTGGCGATGGGAGATGCTCTATGTGGACCAGCTCTACAAATTAATGGCCAGTGTCTACAACATCTAGTGTCCCCACAGGTCCTCTGTTTTTCCCATTCCTCCTTCTGCCCACTGGCTGTGAGCCTCTCACTGACTCATTCCTTTCAGCCCCACTTATCTTTTTATCCCTTTTCAAATTTCCCTGAAATTCTCTAGTGGTTCCTACATGGCTATCAGGGTTAGCTGTTTGGCCTTTCCTTGTTTCTGTTGGTGTAGAGGAAGTTATGTGACACTTGTCATGAATTTTTATCATGCAATTTGTCATTTAGCAGATTAGCCCTACAGAGCTATAAATACAGTCAAAAGGAGAATTTTTAATCAATGACATTAAAATTACTTGATAGCATCTATAGCCTAGATCCTTCTAGAATGTTCTCAGGGAAATATTTTAAGCTATGTAATGAAAGGCAACACTCACGTTTCACTGTCTGCCATATCCAATAACTCAGAAGGTCCTAAACAAGAAAAAAGTAAGAAGCTCATTATAAATAAGCTCCAAATGTACCATAAAGAGAAAATTTACAGTCACGAATTAATATGCCTTTATTTTTTCATTTTTTTTATTTAAGGAGAAAAAGAAAAAAAAAGAAAAAGGGTACAAGTAATACAAAATTTAAAAAAAAAAACAGTAAGAAATCACTAGTTAATAGATTACATATTCTCATCTTAGAAATAGTTGTTCAAGTTACAAAATTGAAGCATATAAAGTGGACTTTCAAACAGTAAGAGTGCAGTTTTGTCCAATGATCCAAAAAAAACTCAATAATATGGTTATCTATCTGATACACTTAAACATATATGCAGTTATAACCTTTAGAGCACTTTCTTTTCTTTTCTTTTGTACAATGACAATTACACATTTTGGGTTTTAAAACTTTTTTTGAAGAGAGTAAAACCAAATGCGACATATCAGAACAGAGTCAGTCAAATCAAAAGGATGGACATAATAGATAACGTAAAAACAAAACACAAGGTGATCAACAATGGTTACCATACTGCCTCTTGCTATTTTAAGAAGAATTGCCAGTTATAATAAAATTGAACAAAACCGCAAAGAATAAAACCAAAGCATTGGAGACACTACAAGACTTTAAAAGAAGATAATAGTCAACCGGAATGGGCGTCATAATGATTCTTATTGTCTTCACAGTTTTGCCTATACTTGGTACTATCAAGCAAAGCAGAATAGGGGAAAATCAGTCAAAACAAGATGGTGAGCGAAATACAGGATTTCAAATCATGTTAATAGGAAATCAAAGTAGGTTACTATAATGTATCCTGCAATTTTTATGTATTTTCCATTAATTAAAAAGATAAAAAGAAAAAAGTAAATAATTTTTAAAAAGGGGGGGATTGAGATAAAAGAGGGCATAACAACAGAACATCACAGGTCAAAACATAACCATTTGAGTAAAACAGTGTTTCACCACAAGATATCCTGACATAAAAATAGTTACCATAGTGTCTCTTTCCTTGAAATATTTGAGTATAACTTTGTATACTGTAGCACCAAACATATCAAGACACTATAAAACCATTCAAGAGAATGACATTATTACAGGGTATTTAGAACCAATTAACAGAAAATGAATAATGGTTTCTGTATAATCTCCTTGTCTATAAAAGTTTTTATATTTTCATATATAATAAAATCCAATAAGATACAATCTTTTAAGACCTATGGAGACAGAAGCATACAAGTTTGATGGGACTTCAAAATAAGATGATACTAAATCAGCACTAGATATTATAATGTCTTTTTTCCAAAATAGCTGTTCCTACCATCCGATCTTCTCTGCCTCATTTCTGTTGAGCTCTGTCGTTTGTTGTCAATTTGTCTTCTTCATTTCTATTTCTGCTCCATTCATTGTGGCCTCTCTGCTACTATTTCTGGAATCTTGGTATTTTCCTTTTTTAGAATATCCTGCAGTATTCTCTGTAGAGTTGAATTCGTGGTTGCAAATTCCCCTAGTTCCTCTTTATTCTGGAAGCACCTTGTTTTTCCATCAATTTCTAGGGACAGTTGTGCAAGATATATCAATCTTGGCTGGAGGTTATTATCTTTCAAAGCTTGAATTATTTCCACCCACACTCTTCATAATTTGATGGTTTGTACCAAGAAGTCTGCTGTAATTCTGATGGGTGTTCCCTTGTAAGCGATCTGTTTCTTGTCTCTGATGGCTTTTAATATTCTGTTCTTATATTGGATTTCTGGAATTTTGATTATTATATGCCTGGGTGTAGCTCTGTTTGGGTTGTAGGTGGCTGGGGTCCTGTATGCCTCATACATCTGAGTATCTTTACCATTTGCTAAATTGGGGAAATTCTCTTGGATTATTTCTGTGAATAGCTTTTGTAGTCCATTTGTTTGTGTCCCTACTTCTTCTTTTATGTTCTTAATTCTGAAGTTATAGATCCTCTTATCATCTTCTAGCCTTTGTATTGTTGCTGTTTTTTTTTTGTTATTTTTAAGAAGTTTTTCATTTCATGCTCCCATATTACAAATCTGCCCTCCAGTTCAGATAATCTATCCTTAGTTTCTTTCAAGTTGTTATGCCAGTTTTCAATAGAGTTTTGAGTTTCCTGGTAATCTCTTTGAACCTGCTTCATGTATTCTGTTTTTTCTATTTTCTCCATCAAACAATTCTCCCCTTTTTTTCTGTTCTTCCATTCCACCATCTGTTTTTTCTTAGGCAGCTTAGCATTTCTCTAACTATTCTACTTACATCTTGCTTCACGTCATTAATAACTTCATTCCTGAACTCATCTCTGAGGTTCTAGAGATAGCGCTTTATGTCTATTGGTTCCGTGTCTGATATTGCATGTTTCTCAGGATTGGGGGCCGAGGACCCTTTCTTGTTGCTCCCTCTTGCCATATTTTTTGTTTCTTTTATACAAGCGTATATAGGAAGCCCAGTTTCTTTCTTTGTTTGTTACAGTTTGTTTGAATTGCACCAGCTAGATGTTCCTGCCCACTGCAGTGTACCAGGGAGACACAGTCCTGGGCAGCATACGCTGAGCCCACCCCTCCAGGTCAACCCACCAAAGGCTTCACTGCTAGAGTGCACCTCCAGGCGCTGGGACCTGTTTTGGGCTAGCCTACTGGGTCTTAGTCAGTGGCGTCACGCAGGTAGGCACTCCCCACCAATCCCACTTGAGAGGAGAATATGTGACTGAAGTCACTGTAGCACCCGGTTCTGGGTAGTCTGCCTGGTCCCAGTATGTCCTTTGCTGAAGTCTCCTACTCTATGGAAGGTCCCTGATCCATTCACTCACTGCAGGTCGATGCAGGGCTTCCCGCCAGTCCTGCTCTCAACTCCATTTACTGCTTCCCTCTCTCAGTGCTTTCACGCCTCTCTCCTTGCCATGCCAATTGGGACGCAGCAGCGGCTACAGGAAATTCAAATCACAGCTTCCAGTGGCACCAGGTCCAGCTTCCTCACTGAGACCTTATCTGTTCCTGTTATATCACTGGGATTGCGTTTCCAGTTGGTTTTTCTTAGTTTAGTTCATTCCTGGGTCGGCAAAGTATATCTCCCCTTGCTTAGGATTTCTTGCCCGGCACCATTCCTGGATTTTAAGTGCAGTTTCTCAGAAAGCCTCCAAAGCTGCTGCTATCTATCCACCATGTTCTCCTGGAACTCTTTTCCTTTTTTATTGGTACCAGGGATTGAACTCATGACTACACATTTGCAAGGCAAGGCACTTATGCCGCTGAGTTAAATCCCCCGCCCCCAATATGCCTTTATTTTAAAAAAGCATTTCAGTAATAGAAATAATAAGACAAAAAGAAAAAAATCATCTGTGGATCACTCATGTCTCAATCTCTATTAGCAAATATATAGAACATGGGATATAGAAAAGATGATCCGGTCTCTGTTGTCAAGAAGCTTCTGATTGAGATAACAGCCGGCTACAGAGGCTCCCTGAGACAGTCAACTTAAAACTCAATACAACATGGGGAGCCCCAAATAGAGGGAGAGGAATTCTCTTGTCCCAAGAAGAAACTAAGGTGAGAAAAATGAATCAAACATACACTCCTGGCCGGCTATGCTACCATGCAGCCCTGAGCACCTCCAGCGAGACAGGCCATCCCCATGCTACTGCCTTCAGCCACGACCTTTGACTCTGTCACCAGGGGTCTGCCAGAGGCTGGGGGAGTGAAGTGACTCGGCAACCACCAGCTGCCCCTGCCCCCACCACAACTGCTGCCACGTTGCGGAGTCACGGGCGCAGGACTGGACCTGCTGGGGTGCATCGCCACCTTCGCATTAGCCACCTCCACGAGGACTTGAGCTTGCGGCGTTGGCACTGAGCAGGCCCCTGCTACCGGAGCGCCCCCAAGGGCCCTGGGTGGGTGAGTGTCTTCCCTACCACAAGGCCTGTGCTACTAGAGCCCCATGGACCCATGCAAACTGAGCCCAGAGAAGCTGTTTCTGAAAACACCTCTTCAGACAATAATCGAAAATACAGAACCAGAACTTTCTGGTTTCCTGCCGTTTCACCAGCTTTGGGGAATTAGGCCTGCCTGGCTGTGCCCCTTACCTCTGGACTGGGCAGCCTGGGATGAGTGTCCCCGTACCATCCTGAGCCCCTGGAAGGGAGTTTAAGATACCTCAGATAACAGCAAATTGTGGAGGGCAGCAAAACCCCAGTCAACACGCTTCAGAAAGACCCTAAGCAATACAGAGAGGGCCAGAGACTCCCTGGACACACCTGTCTGAAAGAAACCAGAAAAATGACAAGCGATAGAAAAAAAAAAAAAAAAAAAAAAAAAAACCTCCAGCCACTGACCCTGGAAAAATAAGCCCAGGAGAGATAAATATAGAAGAGAAACAGTGCAGTAATCATGCAATATTAGATGCAGCATCAGTGGACATAAAGAAATACCTTCATGACCTCATAGACGAATTTAAAACTGTACTTCTGATCCAAGTGAGGCAAGATATAAAAAGGTTAATTAAGGAAATCATAAGCCACTCCCAAGAGAACACAGATGGAAGAATGGAGGAACTCAGAAAAGGAAGAGAAACCTTTCACAAAGAATATAAACAAAATCTAGAATACATGAAACAGATCCAAAGAGATTACCAAGAAACTAAAACCTCCATTGAAACTGGCAAAATGCCTTCACAGAAACTAAAGTTAGCCTTTTAAAACTTGAAGAGAGATGTATGGTGTGTGATTGCCAAAAAAAGACCTCTTAAAAATAACAAGGAACCAGGAAGAAACAATACAAAGACTAGAAGATGACATGAGGATTTATAACTTAAGAATAAAAAATGGGAGCAAAGAAGCAGGTGTAACTACAAATGAACTGCAAAGACTATTCACAGATATATTTAAGGAAAACTTCCCAAGCATAGGAAAAAGAAATGATATCCAGATAAATGAGGCACACAGAACTCCAGCCATCTACAACCAAAACAGATCTACACTCAGACATATAATAATC